CTGATAACACAAAGGTCCAGGGTTCAATCCCTGTACCAGCCAGCCGCAAAAAAAAAAAAAAGAAAGAAAGAAAGAAAAAACCACACAAACAACTCTTCCATTTTGAATATAACATAAATGGAAAAGTGCACAAACATGAATTTGGAGTTCTGCCTTTTCCATTTAACAATATTAAATTTTGCTTTTACTACCTAGTTTTCATAATCATCATCCTTAACAACTACCAAATACTCAAATGAAATTTAATATCCTAATTTATTAGTCACTACCCTACTGGTACAAAGGCTGTTCCTATATTATAGTACTATTGATAAGGCTTCAATAACAATCTTCATGCTTATAGCTTTTTTTATTTTTTCTTCTAGCGAATTATTTCCTAAGAAAGATTTGAGGGAATGAAAAATGCAAGCATATTTTAATGTCTTTTGACATGTATTGCCAGGTTGCTTTCCAAATTATTTGGTTTAAGTGGTCCTTTTAAAAGCTACATTACGGGCCGGCCCGTGGCTCACTCAGGAGAGTGTGGTGCTGATAACACCAAGGCCCCGGGTTCGGATCCCATATAGGGATGGCCGGTTAGCTCACTGGGTGAGCGTGGTGCTGACAACACCAAGTCAAGGGTTAAGATCCCCTTACCGGTCATCTTTTTAAAAAATAAATAAATAAATAAAAGCTACATTACTTAACACACACTAGGTGGTACAGGACCCAAACCTCAGGTACCACCTGGGAATTCAAGGACCTGAGATAGTCTCCCTTACCTCCTACAAAGCACCTGATCCTGGAAGGGCAAGTATCTGACCATGCAGAGAGTGTCCCAAGGGTGTGCCAATGGGTCAGTGCATTCAGAGAGAGGGCAGTTCCTGTCCTGATTTCTCACTAAACAACAGCAGATAGATTGGTAGAAGCTAGCCAGAAGCCCTTTCTGTAGTGGCTGAAATAAACATGGCAGAAGGCAAAGTATTTTAGTCAATGTTATGGATGAAGCCACTGATGTAGATGAGAAAGTCTGAAAGGAACAGCGAGTTTCTAAAACTCTGAAGGTGCCCAAAGGCCCAAGGCCTCCACTGTAGTCACTGGCACCTGAGAATTCTGCCTCAGCCTGAGAAGCTGCCCACCCACAATCAGAAACTTACAACAGCAGAGCAGGAAGTACTCCCCAAGAACACTTAGTCCAGCCTCCTGATTTTATGGATGAGAGATCTGGGCCTAGAGAGGCCAGGTGTCCTTCCCAGGGTTGCACAGCACATGTGTGTCAGGTCCAGGGTTCTAGAACGTCGGTCTTCTGACAGTCACTGGCTTCCACTCCACTCTACTGCTTGCCTTGCAAAAAAACCCTGACCCTGCACGTGGCAATGCACATCTGCTCTGCTCCAACTCATGACTCTGTACACCGCACACTGGATTCCCATACATAACACTGCCAAACGCAAAAACTTACCTGGGAAACTCAGCTCGTAGTTCCGTGAGCCTGCCTGAAATGGTACAACTCCCCTTGGACAGGACTGATAGAAAGCCTCCAAGTATAGAGAGTCGATGTTCGAACTTTGCTGGTTGTCTTTCTAATTAAAAAAAAAAGGTAAAGACTTCAGGGTAAGCTTTTAGGAAATTTCTGCCGTTGTATCTTACATAATTTTATTTTAGCCATGCCTCCAAGTATAGAGAGTCGATGTTCGAACTTTGCTGGTTGTCTTTCTAATTAAAAAAAAAGGTAAAGACTTCAGGGTAAGCTTTTAGGAAATTTCTGCCGTTGTATCTTACATAATTTTATTTTAGCCATGGAATTTGAACAGGAGTGCATCTTGCTTCCCAAACCAGATTGTAAGGAGTCCCAGGTTGGGGCCATTTCATGACATTTTGTGGTCTTCTCCATAGTGCCTAAGAGAGCAGTCTGTCCCGCAGAAATTGACTATATGCTCGGTGGATGCCTGAAAATGAGGCTGTCTGCAATACTCTTTTATACCTTCCATAAAATATAAGCCAAGTGCACACAGCAACTTGCACCCCTTCTCTTGTGATGCCACGTCTGTCTCTGCTGTCTAACAGAATGCAGTACTCGACTCTTGTTCTGTTTCACTTGTGTGAAACAGAACATCGGGGGCTGTTGTAACCCAGCACAGTTTAGAGTTGTACTGAAGGCAAGTAAAGGAAGACCTTCTGCTCCTCATCCAAGCTCCAATAGGTGTACTATTGTAGTACCATCAAATATAAACAACTCTCTTCTCTGCCCTCAACCAGAGTAAGTAAAATTGACCAAGCCTTCAGCCAGTCAACTACACTGAAAATGCACTTGGATTTGCCACTGACTGGGACTATAATGAAAGGGGCAAGAAATACCCAAAAAACATAAAGATATCATCTCTGGTCTCAAGGCATTTATGAAGGGTCTGAACATCAGAATGGGTGGGTAAAAGGAAATGTTTTAATGTTTTTTGACATGTATTGCCAGGTTGCTTTCCAAAATAGTTGGTATAATGGTCCTTTTAAAAGCTACATTACTTAACACACACTAGGTGGTATAGGACCCAAACCTCAGATACCACCTGGGAATTCAAGGAACCGAAAAAGTCACCTTTACTATCTAGTAAGGAGACTTTGATTGATTCTAGTGGTGTTGATTCTAGCAAGGGAGCAGGCTAGGCCACTGTTCCACTGTCCCCACCCTATGGTGCAGGTGGCAGACCAGGGCAGACTGGATGTACACCCCTAATAGCAGGGGTTTCCAGTATTTAATAGTGAGGAGACACTTGTTTCTCATGATCTACCATGGAGGAGCTAATGACAGCAAAATCCTGCTGGAAGCCCATGATGGGGAGGGGCTCATGGTCCCTTTAATGACAGTCTAGACTCTTCAGATTTCAGCTCATCCAACCTCCCTTCCCCTTCCCTAACAAAAATGCCTGCTGGATGTAAGGGGAGGGCACCAGAAGAAAAGCATCCAGGAAAAAAAATGTCCTGGGTGGAGAAGGGCCTGAACTGGGTCTCATTAGTTTGGAGAAGAGCACGATTAGAGCAGAAAAGCCATGTTCAAATATTTGCACACATTACAAAGCAGCAATAAACTTGAATGTGTTTCAGGAGGTGGAACCAGGACAAAGGGTAGAAGGGACTGGGAGGCAGATTTTAGCAGAACTTCCTAATCTACAGCATCCAACAATTACTCCTTAGATAGCTGTATAGACGCTTCAAGAAGGGGCTCTGAAATGTGCCTCAGGGATCATGACGAGCCAAGAGCTTATTAATGGACTGTGCTGTGCCTTTTGGCAAAACAGAAGCAAAAGAGCTCTGGACTGTAAAGAGGTGCCCGTTAATTACCTAGTTGCACAATTCATTTCACCAAGCAAACCTAGTAGGCGACAGGCCTGCCCTGAAGAGGCTGTACTATTCTACAGCACTATAAGTCTCAAAAAAGCCAGTCCAATTTAAAAAACAAAACAAAAAACCTCTAATACAAGCCTGGGAAATAACACCTGAACATCAATTATCTTGTGGGGGAAAAAAAAAGATTTAAACGACAATATTCTGAAGTTCCACAAGATGGTGACATTACTCCATGAAGAACACATTTTCTTATCTCTTTTATGCATTCATTCGAGTATTTATTGAGCATCTACTGTATGCTAAGCACTGGGTATATGGCAGTGATATGGTGTGAAATAGCATGAAATGGTTCCTGTTCTCAAAGAGAAAGTCTAGAGGAGACAGACATTAAACAAATAATTGATAATTTTAAATTGAGCCTATGCTCAAGCAGAAATGAAGAGTGCTGGAAAGAAATAAAAACAATCCTAACTTAGACTGTAGTCATGGTAGAACTTTCTGAGATGCAGCATAACTTATGGTTAACAGTACAACTCTGGAGCCACCAGTCTAGGTTTGAAGACTAAATAGCTGTGTGATCTTGAGCAACTTGCTTAATCCCTCTGTGCCTCCTTTTCATCTATATGCTGGAGATAATAATAGTAACACCTATTTGGTTATTATGTGGAACGAGTAAGTCGATATGTGTAAAGTGCTTGGAGAAGTGCTGACACGTTAAGTACTATTTAGAGAAAGTGATATTTAAATGTTTAATTTTCTCCCGATATAAATCCAGCATTTTGATGGGAAAGAATAAACTAGTAAAATTTCTTCCAAAGTTATTCTATTTGTATTAGGTGAACTATGAGTAAATAAGGAAAATAATTCAGAAAGAATTGAAAGGAATGGTTTATGTCATCCTACTAAAAGCCTAGAAAAAAAATTTTTTTTTCCTTTTTTGTCTTTTTTCATGACCGGCAATGGATCGCAACCCTCAGTGTCACACCCGTACCGGACCTGGACCGGCCACGGGATCGCAACCCTCGGTGTTGCTCCCGCCCCTCGCTCAGCCAGTGAGCGGCCGGTCTGTATGTGGGATCCGAACCCTCGGCGGGAGCGCCACCATGCTTCCCAAGCGGCGCACTACAGCAGTGCGCCACCGGGCCGGCCCAGAAATTTCTTTTGTAAGTATATCTTAAGCTATTCTTGCAAGGGTAAAGCCTTATTTGTGGTATCCAAAAGTCATATCTCTACTAAGCTGACCCAGCACAGACAGACAGCTAGGGCTGTCTCATACTCTAACACACAGTAACAGGCTTGGGAGACATGTCGTCAGGCCTTTTAGCTATCATTAATTTAATAGCCATAATGTGTCCCGGAGTATACAGCAGTTCTGAATCAATGAATGAATGAATTACTGAGTGGTACAGCCTTTGATTATTTATTCCTCCACAAGACTTGAATTTATGTGTCAGTTGCAGTAACCAGGTCTTGGCTTTTCTCCTGTGCTTCATGATTGCCTTGACCTTGGCTTTCTAGAGCAGTGACTTGCCCTTGCTCTAAGCCGTTTTCTCAGGCCATGGGCTTCTATGGCTCCTCAACACCAGTTCCTCAGCTACGAAGCTGAGCTACTTGCTGGGAAACATCTCTGAAGGCCTGGATCTGCACATCCTACTTGATGCAAACCCAGTGACTACCAGGGTCCATCCTACTGTTACCCCTGTTATAACTCTGTCCTCCACCACTGTTGCCCAGCTGCTCATCTAGTCAATCATCACTTCCCCTAATAACCACATCCTCTCCCTGTCCACCATCTATGTAGATACAAGTCCTGGTTACGCACCTCAATTTCCATAAAAGGATGAATTCTATCTTCCAGAGAGCTCACTGTCAAAATATATGTACCTACCCTTTGTTGGCAAAAGTTTCTGCACCCCAAGTTCCTACTAGAGAGGTTCCTAACCTAGAACTCTTAGTTGCCCAACTCCTATTAAAATTCAGTTACAGGAAATCAAACCTGTAGGGCACTGTGTGGTCTATTCTTTTCTCTAAATATTCTAAACTGTACACTGGATCAAACTAGGGCACCAAAGAGCTGCAAACTTGGACCATAACTCACTGAACTGTGAAAGAAACCAGGCTGCTTATTATGTTTGGGGTTCACAACTCCTGGAACCACCATTTTTATTTTACTTGGACAGCCAGCAAGGAAAACATTAAACCCAGGGCCTGATTTTTTTTCTTTTTCCATTTTTATTTTACTTGGACAGCCAGCAAGGAAAACATTAAACCCAGGGCCTGATTTTTTTCTTTTCTTTTCTTTTTTTTTTTGGTTAATAACAGAAGAACTAACTCAATTTATATAATGATGGGTCTAATTAATGTCAGACGGTAAGAATTCACTCACATCTTCAAGTAACATACACAGATTAAATGAATACAACATTGTATGTGTTTGCAGATTGAAAATTACATTCTAAAAAGTTTGTATTTAATGCAAACTGAATGTCCCAGAGAAAACTTTGTATTAAAGAGCTCAGAAAGTTTCTTGATGTTGTATTAGGGAACATGATCAACAGAACTTATATAAATTTAAATTTA